CAGTTAGTGTAACGGCTATGTCGCTGGACTCCCACGTAGTCGACCGCGGTTCACGTCCCAGACCCGGTGGCTTAAAAAACTCACGCTGGGCGCGTGTGCGTGCGTGCCCAAGATCCCGAGAGGAGAATGGAGGAGAAGGGATTGCGGCGTGACCATCCCCCCTGGGGGGTGATTTCTCGCTTTCTGTCTCTATGTCTCTCTCTGTCGGGCGAGCGCACGCGCCCTACAGTGAAAATCTCTCAAAAAAATAAAAAATAAAAATAAATAATAAAAAAAACCATGTGGGATTCAGTACATTAACCTTGATGCTATCCGCTAGCTCTGGGCTAGACACTCTTAAAGTGAAATATTTAGCTTTTCTGTACTTTCCAGGAATGAGAGCAAAGGAGAAAATCAAAGAGATGTCAGGTCCTGGAAAAGACAGGGGCTTGGAAGCTTCATTACATGGCACCTATTACATGCCAGGCGGTGGTCACACCCACGACCTAACCCATTCACAACATCCCCACCCTTGCCCTGTGAAGTGAAGAGCGTGATCACTCCATTTCACATACTGGAAAACCAAGGCACAAAATCTGACTTCCATAGAGGCGCAGACCTGTTAATGGCAGGACCATATTGAAGCCCTGGCAGGCTGGCCACCGAGTCCCGGACTCAGCCTCGCATCGGCTCACACCATCATGAGCCTCTTACACTTTGTCGTTAATTGAACACTTACTGGGAGCCAGGTGCCACGCTAAGTACTTCCTGTATTTTATCTCAAGCATGCTATATGATCCCTGTTTAAAGATAAGGAAACTATTAACATTGCCAATTAATGCATGGACTCTACCACACTGGACTCCATTTAAAAGCCAATGACATTTTTTTTACATCCTGCTCCATCTGCCCACACAACAGAGCCTGTGCATTTTCATTAGCACTGATCCTTTCAACCAGGCTAGAAGGAGCAAATAACTCGCCCAGGGTCAAGCAGGTAGAATGTGGAAGAGCTGGCGGTCTGTCCAGATCTGACTTCAAATCCTGGGTTCTTAGTGACTGTGCTAAGAGTACACATTCCATCAGATGGCTAACACAGTCCTCCAAATACCAAACCCAGATCAAACCAAAGCAAAACCTTCAAAATTCGGTGGAACACGGGTATACGCCTCTCCTCCCGCCTGCATCTGGCGGCTTGCTCATTCTCTTTGCTGCCATGCACCTCGGCCAGCAGCCCAGAGCTGTCAGCAGGTGTGCCTCCAAAAACCCACCTCTCCTCCCTCCTCCTTTCCCAGCTGAAGGTCACAGCGGGAGATGCACTGTTTGCTGACACTAATTCCACAGTTTCCCAAACAAATGGCCCCCTGTGGGCCTGCCACCTTCCAGACTGGTCCATCCCCTTTCCCTCCATGAAGGCAGCTGGAGTGCTGGAAGGTGACAGTATTTAAAGAAGCTTCCATAGGCTGCCCTGTGCTGTGTAGACCCAGATGTTCCAGATGATGGTAAACTAGCAAATGAGGCAGCTGAGGATTGTGCCCCATGTTTGTTAGCCCCCCACTCATCAACTTGCTGGGCTACCCAGCTGTCAGGCCAGATGTGCCACCAGAAGGGTGCTGGCTTCACCACGGTGCGGCTGTCCAGGCATGGACACAGTATCGAAACATGGGAGTTTGGAATTAAATAGTGTGCACTGGTAGCCATGAGGTTTTTGCTTGTTTAGTTGGGTTGGTTTTTTCCTTCTACAAGGTTTGCCAGAAGCCATCACAGAGATAGAGCCAGTCCTCTTGTTATTCCTGCCCCATGTGGCTTCAACCCTTGTACCTGACAGCTATTTCAGTCACCAGCCAGGACTCCCAACCACCCAGTTTTTTTTCAGAATGCTCCTTCAAGCGTGATTTTTGACAAAGACTTCACCAAATGAAACACAAGCAGGCTTTATTCCAGAATTCCTCATTCCAGCATAGCCTGCCTGGTTTTAATGGATGACAGTGCTTGTCTCAAATTGGACCACCTGATATTCACTCTTAGGAGATTTAGAGAGAAGACACAGTTACTTGTGTTGTCCAAGGTGGATTATTTTTCTTATTAACAAATCTAAGAATAATCATAACAGCTACCAGGAATCAAGCAATTCTTTGTTCCGCACAGTCTACAGTCTACAAATATTTTCTCCAATCTCAACAATGCAGGTACACTCTATCGTCCCCATTTTACAAATGAGCAAACTTAACCTCTCAAAGACTAACTTCTCCTTTTCTTTTCTTTTGTTAGATTATATCATAGGGTGCATGCACTCACCAAAGAGACAGTGAGAGGGCAAGTGAAAAATTACCCACCCCATGAGGTGACCACACCGCAATCCCTTGTCCTTTATTCTCCTCTTGGGATTTTGGGTACACACACATGCATCTGGCATGAGTTTTAAGCTGCTGGGTCTGAGACTTGAACCACAGCTGCCTTGTAGGAGTCCAGTGCTCTACCTACCACGCCACCTGCTGGCCCCGGCTAACTTCCTTCCTTAAGATCATAGGAAGGGGAAATGGCAGAATCAGACTTTGGGACTATTTCTGACTCCAAAATGCGAGTGTGTTCCTTCTATTCTGCCACGCTGCTTCAGCAGTGTGATAGAATGTGGCTCCACCAGAATCCCTAGAGAAATGAAATCAATGCATCTACAGGGTAAAGCAATCCTATAGATTCATTGTTTGTCTGCTTAAGCAATTATTGGGATATATTCTCGGGGCAAATATGGATTTTAGATTCACCCTAATAGTCCCTCTTTCTCTCTCTCCTCTGTCTCTGTTTCTCTTTTATACACACACACACACACACACACACACAAAGTGCATGCAAATATTTTAGGACAAAACATTACAAATGTCCAGGATGATAGCCTTGAAGGACAGACAGGCATCTCATCATTGAAAAAAAATGCAGTTATCTTCACTGCACTGTAACTTATTTGGGCTGCAGTTCAGGGCAAAACATTTTAGAAAGATTTTTTTGGGGGGAAGGGTGAGGCCGAAACCAAAAATCATGTATTCTTCTTAAGCCTCGAGAACAAGAACACCCTTAAGGAACTAATCAATCAGATTCCCATGATATAAATTGGTTCTGGGTTTTGCCCGAATCTTACTTCTGCTGTTATATTCATAGTCTGAATTCCCTTGACATCTATACCAAAATATGAAGAAACTACAATCTCCAAACCATCAGGTATTTACAGCTAGAGCTCAAATGTTGGAGAGAAACTGCCTCCAGAAGGAGTGTGCAGTTTCCGTCTTCAAGGGCTCCATGTTCTCTTCTGGCAGTAGATAATCCCTCCACTTGTTCCTAGAAAGGGAACGGTTTACCCAGGAGAAAGCCCCAAGGTCATTTCCTAACCCCTCTTCGTATAGGGTACATTTAGCAGTTCCAGGGAGTTTATAAGCAGCAGGCTTAAGAAAGAAAATTCTGGGCCATCCTGTGGCTTGGTGGTTAAGGCAGTTGAATCCCACATAGCCAACTGCTTGGTTCTTGACCTGAACCCTGTGGTTTGAGATACACAGTGGGCATGTGTGCATGTGTACCCAACATCCTGAAAAGAGGGAGACATGGAGTAGACAGGATT